TGTATTTGTAATTTTATGACATTCAAAGTTTTTTGTCTTCCTCTTTTAATTAATTTTCTGCACAATGCTTTTTCTTTTTTGCTTTGATTTTAATTCCATACAGAATATTCAATTCTTGCAAACACATTAAAATAATTTGCCTGCTAGGGTATGGTTTATTTAAAATTTTTTTAAAATTCCAATAAAGAAAAGCCCAGATTTTACTAGTGAGTTATAACAAACTTTTAAAAATAAAACAATTCTGCATAAGTTCTAACAGAAAATAGAGGAATGAACACTTGCCAACTCACTGAGGCTAGCATTATTATAAAAAGAAATGAGACAGAAGGATGAAACAAAGAAAAAGGAGAACAAGAGGGGCCCGGGAAGTGGCTCAGTGGTGCTGTGCCTGCCTGGCAAGTGCAAGGTCCTGAGTTTGATCCCCGGAGGTGGTGGTGGTGGTGGTGTGGAGCAAGAGTAAGACAGAATGTACATAGGCACAAAAAATATTAAAAGTATTAGCAAAGTGAATGCAGCAATTTACAAAAATGGTAATACTTGATGACAAGTTGTGGGTTTATCCAAAGAATGGGATGTTGACAACATTTTTAAATGAATGTAATTTTAAATGGAATAAAAAATAAACAACCATATAACTATCTCAGAATCAGAGATACTTAAATTTCTAAAAGTTTATCAAACCAAGAACAGAGGAAACTTTCCTATTTCAATTGAGAGCATATGATGTAGCTAACTTGTAATAGTGAGAGGTAATGTTTTCCCTTAAGGTCAGAAGCAAAGGATGTCTATTCTCACTGCTCCTGCTCAACACTGCACTGGAAGGCAAAGCCAATGCAATAAGACAAGGAAAAGAAATGAAATAAATAGAGGTTAAAAATAAATAGCCCTGGTGAGATTCCATCCTGCACTGCTGTTCTCCAGGGCAGTGGTTCTTTATCCCCTTCTACCTTCTCTCTGATCTAAGTGCTGGACACCATCTCATAAAAAATTCAGTGCACGTGGACATGAGCACCTTGAGGCTCCTGAAGTATCTTTTCAGCTGTGAACTAAGATGATTACTTTAAGGTGGATAATGACAGAAATGAGAACCAGTTATTGAAAATGGTCACCTCGGGGCGGGTGTGTGCAAAGGATGAATTGCACACCATTGAAGCAAAGGCAATGAATTATGTAGGCAGTCCGATTAAAGTAATCTGACAATTTTGAAAATGTCTGTATAGCTAGTAGCTTTCCATATACTATAACCACTTCAGAGACTAAGATGAACAAGGTCCATGTTAAAGACAAGACTTTAACAGCCCATAATTTCCACTTTTTGGAAAACAAATTTCACTTGGTAGAGTGTCTATCTAATAGAGCATTAGGAGCTATTAATTATTAGGCTATCTACTAGATAAGTGAGTATTTGATTTAGCCAAAATGATTGCATGACCAAACAGGCTTTGAAATTATACCACTTGGGGTCTTAAGGTTGAAGCATGGCTCAGGGATTGTGCATATTGGTGGACAGCACTTAGGTGTACAGAAAGACGTAAAGTGAGCAGAGGAAGGGAAGAGGATGTTAAAATCTCAGCATATCTGGAAAATAATCTGCCACTGGAGGGGCAGCAAGTTTCTATAGAAAAAAGTAAAATGTGTTGCTAATGAAGATGATGGTAAGATGATGATGATGATGATCATGAGGCAAAAGAAGATGAGTTGGATGTTGAGGAAACAGAAGAAAAACTAAAGTGGACATCTACATAAGTTACTCTGCAAAAACTTCACACACATTGACCCAGGGCTGGGTTCGGGGGGACTCAGTGGTAGGGAGTTTGCTTAGCATGTGCAATGCCTTGGATTTGATCCCTGGCATTGAAAAAAAAAAACTATGATGGAAAAGACTCACAACCATCAAAATCAAAATCAAATGGTCAAGAATCAAGAAGAGACAAATATAAGCCATATTGTGTATCAACAATTCAGACTGAAATCTTTTGTTTCAACTTCAATCTTCTTTTCTGACTTGCTACCCACACTCTCTTGCAGGTTAGCAGCAATCTTTCTTGTTTTCTTAAAGCATTTTCTTTTGACAGCTGTGATTCAGTGAACTTTACCTATTATTCTGTATTATTTGTGTATATTCTTGATCTCTCTGACCATGTTTTAATCATTATTTTACTTCTTTAGCTGCTCAATTAATATTTTAATGACCAAAAGTAAATAAATATTCCCTATTGGCTGACAATATAATTATCTAAATAGAAAACCTTAAAGAATGAATAAAATAGCTACTCAGGCAACTTAGGAAAGTCAATATGGCTCATGATCAATATATAATCAATTCCATGTTTACAAAGTAAAAACAAAGTTAGAAACTGAAATTTGAAAAGAATATTACTGTACAGATAATAGTATAAAATGAAATATTTAAGTATAATCTAACAAAATATATCCAAAAAGCTCCTAATTATTGATGTCAGAAATAGAAGACCTAAATAAATGGGGAGTACACTATGTTCATGAATTGAAAGACTCAGTATTTTGGGATGTCAATTCTCCTCTAACTGATCGCTAGGCTTAATGTGATATCAACAAAAATCTCACCAGGGTATTTTGCAGAAATTGATAAGCTGATTCTTATATTTATATGAGTAAAAAAGGAACCTAAAATAGTAAAAACAATTTTAAAAAATAAGAACAAATCTGGAACAGTCACACTACTTGATTTCAAGACTTTTACAAAAAAAAAAAAAAGAGCAAATAAGGGCCAGGGATTTAGCTCAGTGGCACCATGCCTGCCTTGCAAGCACAGGTTCTGAGTTTGACCTCCAGAACCCCCCCAAAAAAAACACACCTGAAAAAGTATAGTATTAGTAAATGACCCAGATAAAGTGAAGAGTCCAGAAATAGATTCACACAAACTTCATCAAATGATTTTCAAAAGAGTCCCAAAATTTTAAAAGGAGAATTTTCAGCAATTACAGATTAAACCACTTGATAAAAAAATGCAGAAAGAATTGTTACTGATTTTCTTTTCTTTTTGCAACACTAGGGCATTGAACCCAGGGACACATTATCACTGAGCCATATCCCCAGCCCACTTTATTTATTCATATTTATTTATTTGTTTATTTGTTTTGAGACAAGGTCTTGTTATATTGTGCAGGCAGTCCTCAAATTTGAAATCTTCCTGCCTCAGCCTCCTGAGTGCTGGGATTACAGGCATGTGCCACCATGCATGGCTCTCAATCTTTATATTTAACCTGGGTTTCTTGAGACCAGCATGAAGATGTTTATAAACTTTGGTTTATACAACAACTTTGGTTTCTTAATTGGTATATTTAGGCTATTTATATCTATCGTTGTAGCTGGATGGAGGCCTATGATTTTATTATGCACTTTTGATTTGTATTCTCTGCTTTTTCTTCCCTTTTTTGGCTTGAATAACTTTAATATTTCACTCTATTTTATGTATGCCTTTCTGGTTGCATCTCTCTCACTCTCCTTATGGTTGTTCTAGGGCAGAGTTTCTCAGTCTCAATACTATAGATTTTTGGGCCAGATAATTCTGTATTCTCTCACATGCAACGTAAGATGTTTAGAAAAATTCTTGACCTCTACACACCATATGTCATTTGCACCCAGCTACAGTAGTAAAAGTGTTTTCAGACATTGCCAAATCACCCTGAGTTGAGAACTGCTGCTCTAGGTAGTACAATAGAAACACTTAATAGTTTAGAGCTACTTAATGTTTTACTATTTAGGTAATATGTAAATGCTCTGCAACCATGTAGGTCGCCTAGTCCCTCCCTGTGTTATAGCTGTTATTAAATCTACATGCTTAAAAAGATCAGACCATGTCAATTTTCTTTTTTCAACAGTTATGTATATTTCAAATAACTAAAAAGAAAGGAAATGGCAAACAAGTCTTTTATATTTACCCAGATATTTACTTTTTTCTTGCATGTGTATAGTACTGAGGTTTGAATGCTGGGCCTCATGCATGCTAGGCAAGTATTCTACCACTGAGCTAACCCAGATATTTACTTTCTTGAGGTGGGGGAGGGCTTCTTCCATTCCTAAAATTCCAGATTTCACTTGGTATTATTTTCCTTCAGTCTGAAGAAATTTCTTTAGCGTTTCTTTTTGTTAGCTATGAGCTTAATTTTCCTTCATCCTAGAATTTATTTCTCCTTCATCCTCATTTGTTTTTGCTGGATATGGGAGGCTGGACTGATCTTCCTGTTATCATTTTAAAGATGTTATTCTATTGTTTTCTGGCCTCCCTGTTTCTGATGAGTCTATTATCATTGTTAATATCACTGTTCTCCTAAATATGTGTCATATTTCCTCAGCTACTTTTATATTTTTCATTACGTTTTGTTTCCAGTAGTTTGATTATATTTGAGTATGCTTTTCTTTGAATTTATTTTCTTTCATGCTCACTGAATTTTTTTTTTTTCAGTACTGGAGATAGAACTCAGGACCTTGCACTTGCGAGGCAGGCACAGTGCCACTGAGCTTAATACCCAGCCCCTCACTGAGTTTCCTGAATCTGTAAATTAATATCTTTTATCAAATTTAGGAAACCTTCAGCCATTATCTTCTATTTTTATGCACCAATCTCTTTACATAACTCTAATGCTATAACTCCTGAACTTTGATGTAGTACTATGACTCCCTGCAGTTCTATTTAGTATTTTGCCTTTCTTAATTCTTTAGTATGGATACTTTCTATTCATCCACCTTCAAGCCCACAGACTTTTCTATCACCTTCATTTTGCTACTGATCCTTTCCAGTACATTTAAAATTTCAGACAATGTATGTTTTAATACAATTTAAAAAATTAACAGGTACATGAGAACATAAAAATTATACATTAACCTGGTGTTTTGAGACATAGATATATTGTGTAATGTAACTGGTTAAACATATCCATCTCCTCCAATGTTTATTATTTTTTTATAGTGAAAACTTTCAAAATAATTTCCTCTTTTTGAAATATACAGGTCATTACTATAATCTAGTTACCCTATTGTGCAATATAGCACAGTAGATTTTCTTACTCTAAACAGTAATATACTACCCATTGATCAAACTTTTTTATCCTTCTCTCTCTCCTACTGCCTCCAGACTGGTAACTATCATTCTATTCTCAACTTCTATGGAATCAATTTTTTAAAATTACACATATGAATGAGGTCATGCATACTTGTCTTTCTACTTGCCTGGCTTATTTCATTTGAGATGACAGTCTCTCGTGTAGTCACAATTTTCAAGATTTCACTCATTTTTGTGGCTTAAAGTATTCCATTGTATATATGTTCATGCACATTTTCTTTAGCTATTCATCACTTGGCGGACACTTAGGTTGTTCCGTTTCTCAGCTACTGTAAATAGTGCAGCAATAAACATAGGGGTGCAGAAGTCTTTCTAACATACTGATTTCATTTCCTTTGGATATAGATACACTCAAGAATAGGAATGCTCAATCACATGGTAGTTCTTTAATTTTTTAGTAACCTCCATATTGTTTTCCATAGTAGCCATACTAATTTATATTCCCACTAACACTGTGTAATTCCTTTTTCTTCACATCCTCACAAGGACTTATCTTTAGTGTTTTATATAATACCCATTCTTACATTCCTTTTAAAAAATATTTCCTCCCATTCTGTAGATTGATTCTTCACTCTGTTGAGTGTTTCCTTCGCTATGCAGGTTTTTCATTTGATGAAATTCCACTTGCCCTCTTTCGTTTCCTGTGCTTTTGGCTTCTTGTCCAAAAAACTCATTGCCCATTCCAATGTCCTCAAGAATTTCCCCTAGGCTCTCTTCTAGTGGCTTCATTTCATGTTTGAATCATTTCTGTAACTGATGAGAGATAGGAATATAGTTTCATTCTTTTGCATACAGATGTCCAATTTTCACAGAAGCATTTCCATAGCATGTTTCTTAACACTTATGTCAATGACCAGTTGGCTGAAGACTTATAGATTTGCTTCTAGGCCTTCTATTCTGTTCCACTGGTCTATGTGCCTATTTTCATCCCAATACCATTCTGTTTTGATTACTAGAGCTTTGTAGCATATTTTGAAGTCAAATGTTTAGTGCAAGATGGCTGTGGCTACTAGGGTTTTTTTTTTTTTTTTGGTAGGTCCATATAAATTTTAGGATTTTTTTTCTCTAGCTTTGTGAAGAATGTCTTTGCCATTCTATTTTCTGTTTGCTATTATGTAATTTCATTCTTTTGCTGAAAAAGTTTATCTTTCCATTCAATTTCATGTACACTTACCTTTACCAGATGGAGCTTGGCTATATCTGCTCTGTAGTCTGATTATTTTAATATGCCACCTTGAGGTTAGCATGTTGTCTTTTCCCTTGAGAAGTGGTTCCATTTTTCCTGTTTTTTTTTTTTTTGCTTGTTTATCGAATAATTTTGGATTATGTTTTATCAAATTGTGTGATTATGAGTCCTATTAAAATTCTCTAAGGGCTGTTATTTTTACTATTATTATTTCATTTTGTTATTTTAATGGACAACCAATCAAGTTAGCTTCATACTGCAAACTTTTAAAATCATTTTCTGTGGACAGTGGTTCTAATCTCAGTTCAGTTTCCAAAGCCTTGTCAATGCTGCAGCCATACTAATTTTAAATGTGTTTGTTAAACACATACACCTTTAAGAAAGTAGTCTGAGACTTGGGTGGTCTTTTTGATTGCTATAATTGCAGGGATTAGAAACAGTTTTGACTGTTATAACTACATGTGATCAGCATCTAGTGGGTAGAGGTCAGGAATATTGGTAAACATCTTACATTGCATAAAATAGAACAAAGAATTATTTGGTCCAAAATATTAATAGTACTGAGACTGAGAACTCTCAGTTATCAAAGGTTTTGTTATGCTGTCTTACATACGTGTAGTTCAGGGTAAACTTGGGACTTGCATAGCTTTTTACATATTTCTAAGCATTCTCTTCCCAAGTTCATTTCTCTCTAGGATTCCCTCTACATTCTCTCTCCCACAGAGAGCCCTTTACCCAGTTCTGTACAGAAAGATGAAGCTTCTTCTAAGAGTTTTAACTGCTCATGTCATCATGACTGAGTAGTGTTGTAGTTGAAGCTGTCCTTTGGGAAAAGACATAGGCGAAAAAAGGGAAAACTCATTCACTTATGTGTTTTCTTTTTAAATTTTTACTCCATTTCATAATTTGCCATATTCTTTTTTTTTGTACCAGGGATTGAACTCAGGACCTTATGCTTATTCAGAAATTTAAAAAATATATATTTTGTCTAGAGTTTAAATTGTAATCGAAAGAGATAGGCCATGATAAACGTACACAATCTTGATCAGAACTGAGAGTCACATTTTGATATGTAATATAACAAAAATGTTGGGGACATTAATAAAGTATATAAAATTAATAGAAGGTAGTCTTAGAGATCACAGTCCAATGGAACTCTCTCAGCAGTTTCCTGGGGTAGGAAGGGTGTGAGAGTGCTAAGCACAGACAATACTAATCAAGAATATTCTTTAAATAACTCAACAAAGTCAGAACTAAAGATTTCTAGTTGAGATGTCTTTAAGTCTTTTCTCATACTCTTCTTCAGTGGGTACAAAAATCCTTCAACAGTGTCTAATAAGACAGTGAACTAGAAATTATGCTACTCAGAGCTATAAACATTCCATAGAGCCCTTTCAGTGCCAAAAGTAGTGAGTTGTGGGTGGACTTGCTGGTACTAGCTCCAGCTTCAATTAGAGCCACTCATTTTTATACATTTTCCAAACTGGATTCTGTTATATAAGACATTACTAAAATTGCTATCTATACTGGGAAAAATAACCAATTATAAAAAGTTACCAGTTTATACTGAAGAAACTTGGGATTGATCAGCAGTAGCATTATGTGTAATGTGATGATGCTTTCTGATTCATCATCTCTGATGCTAATGAAATAGTGACACACTAAATAGGAAGCAGCGATTATTCTTTAGAGATTGCCTAAGATGGGGGGAAAGATTCAGAGCAGTAGAAGTATTTCTGCTTTCCTGCATTTAAAGTGCTTTTCTGACTACTGGAAAATGCAATGTTAGCTGCCATGAGCTTTTGTGATTTACTGCCCCCTTGCCAGTATAAATCAGCTTTGCTTAATGATCTAAAATTACCAAACCAAGATGATTTTGATTTATTTTACCCTTTTGGAGAATATTTGCTTTTTATAAGATGCCTCTGAGAATGGCAGCAAATAACATACATAAATTGTTTTAAACTTGCATTTAAGTATCAGGTAAGTGAAAAAAGAGATTCTGTATTGGGTATTTTATAACATACATTATACAAAGTAAGTTAAACAATTTGGACCCTAGTATTTTTTAGGATAGTGGCTGAATAATAATAGCACCTAACAGATCTTCTCTCAAAATTCAGTAACTATTCATAAAGTAATACAAAACAAAACAAAACAAAAAAAAGAAAATTCAAGCTGGGTGTGGCAGAACACACCTGCGATCTCAGCACTTGGGAGGTTGATGCAGAATTGCCATGAGTTCAAGGCCAGCGTGGGTTACATAGCAAGACTTTGCCTACCCCCTCCCATAAAAAAAGGAAGGCAAATTCATAGCAATTCCCTGAAATAAAAGATATGTTACATATAGGGGAGATTCTTGGAAGTATTTCTATCACTAAACTTTCAATAGTGCCAAATTAGGAAGGAGAGGTTATATCATAAAATACCTTTGAAACTGGAAAAACAGCTGGAAAACAGATGCAGAGTTGTGTCATTCCTCACCTCAATTCCCCTTACTAAGTGCCTGTAATCTGGGAACACAGAATTTCATTAACAACAAGATAGGCAGCATGGCTTTAACTATGTGAAGAGAGATTTCCAAACAGTCAGAGTATCATCAACACCCTCTTTTAACCAACTCAGTTTCTACAATTCCCAGTGCATAATAAAACTAGGATAAAGAGGATGGAGATCCTGGAGTTGTAGTAGTCCTCTTTAAGATAAAGAATTCCAGGCTAGGCAAAGGTAGAGGAATCATGCAAGTTTGGAGAAAGAAGACTTTTCATCCATTACTTAACATTATTAAAGGATAAAGACAGTTAAACTCTCTAGGTTACAAAGCCTTTAATAAAAAAATCAGGAAATAATTCTATTTTATTTCAAAGTAATTATACAAGATTACTGTCGGTTAAGCAATTAAAAACTAGAATAGAACCTGTGCATATCAAATCACATAGTATTAGAAAAGAGTCCACTAGGATCTTAGATAGTGAGGAAAGTAAATAGCAAAACTTATTGGTTTTCACACTAGGTACTTTTCTTCCAATTCAAAACTGAGCTAATGGGGGAAAAAAAAATTGAGGCCTACCTATGCAAAGGAAAAAAAAAATCTATAGTATGAGACAAATCAAATAACTTAAAGACTTTGAAAAAAAAAGTCTGTCATTTTGATTTTCTACAATTACAGGAAAGAATATTTAGAAAAATTAACTTTTCAAACATTCAAGGACTTAGCTGAGGGGTAAGCTCAGTGGTAGAACACTTGCTTAACATGTATGAAGTCCTGGGTTCAATCCCCAGTACTGAGAAACAAAACAAAACTATCTATGGAAGAATGAGTAAACAAAATGTGGTACATATTACAATGGAGTGTTATTCACCCTCAGAAAAGAATGAAATCTAGAGGGCTGGGGATTTAGCTCAGTGGTTCTACTGCCAGCCTCATAAGCACAAGGTCCCGAGTTCGATCCCCAGTACCAAAAATAAATAAATAAATAAATAAATAAAATTAAAAAGAGAGGTAAAAAAGAATGAAATTCTTATAAATGGATGAAACTTAAGACACTTAGACATGCTAAGTGAACTAAGCCAGACACAAAAGGGCAAATATTACAAGACTGAATGTATATAAGGAACCTAGAATAGTCAAATTCATAGACATAAAGTAGAATAATAGTTGCCACAGGCTGGAGGGAAGTGGAAATTGGGTAGTTAATGTTTAAATAATTGCTTTGCTATTTTTACATTTAGAAAGCCCATCCATCTTCCAAAAGTTGATTATTTACTTTTTTTCCTCCCTATCTTCCTGCCATGTCTTGATTTTCCCTTTTATATATACATATATATATATAGCAGTACTAGGGATTGAACCCACAGCTATAGCCTTAGTACCCCCCCCACACCCTGCCTTTTTGATGGTGATACTGGGGATTGAACTCTACCACTAAACTACATCCTAAGCCCTCTTTCTTTGTTTTTGGCTTGGTTTGGTTTGTTTTTTGTGTTGCTGAATATTGAACCTAAGGCCTTCTCACTGAGCTGTATCCCCAGCACATTTTCAAATATTTTTTATTTTGAGACAGAGTCTCCCTAAAATGTCCACGCTGAACTCAAACTTGCCTCCTCACCCTCCAAGAGTACTGGAATTACAGGTGCACACAATAAATAAAGTCCAGCTTTAACCTAAATGTAAAAATAGCAAAGCAATTATTTTTTACAATTCACAGATTTGGCAGAATTTTAAAAAATAAATATTTTGGTTTTCAAAAATATACTCAAAATTTAAAAATAAAAAATTGGTTAGTCATCAGCAAAACAAAAGATAGTATAATACTTATGGATATATATTCAAAAATACAAATCAACATAAAAAATTTAGGAACCTATTGATGAATAGGCAAAGAACAGAAATTAATGAATAAAAAAATAACTAGTCAATAAATAGGAGAACATTCACCCTCATAATCAAATAAATATAGATTAATACAATGAGCTTTTGGTATAAATGACACATCCAGTTCTTCAGAATAAAAAAGCCTCATGAACATTAATAGTGGAGTATAAGCCTGTATTAGCAGTTTTAAAAATGATTTGGCAAAATACTGTACATGTATATTAAAAGTATTTAAACTATTTTGACCTCTGTGTATGGGGAGAGGGGTACTAGGGATTGAATCCAGGGCCTTTACACTGAATTACATTTCCATCACTTTTTATCTTTTATTTTGAGACAGGGTCTTGCCAAATTGCTAAGTTGTCCAGGCTAGGCTTGGACTTGTGATTCTCCTGCTTCACCTTCCTGGAACGATGGAATTACAGGCATGTGCCACCATGCCTAGGTTGTTTTGACCCTCTTCTGAGAATCATTTTTAAGGAAATAATTAAGGGAAATAACTGTATACAGACAGAAGTACATAGTAGCTATCTTAGTTACTTTCCTCATTGCTGAGACAAAATATAAGACATCTAAAGTTAAAGGAGGAAAGGCTTATTTAGTTCATTTTATAGAGGTTTCAGCCCATAATCAGCTGGCTTCAAGGCAGAGTGGTATAGCAGACAAGTACTGTAGTAGAGAAACAGTTCATGGAGGGCAGAAGGCAGCAAAGCAACACAAAGCAGACAAGGCTCTTTCTGTCCCTTATATTGTATCCAGGCACCGAGATTAGGGTGGTGCCAAAGCAATCAGCAGACTGATTTAGTAATCACCCACTTAATCATAGCCTTGAACCATGAATCAATCACACATTCTAGGGGTGTAACAATCTTTACACCTAGAATGTGTGATTGACCTCTGAAAAAACCCCACCTATCACTGTATGATGCTTTCAGGGATGTCTAGACATAAGCCATAACAGTAGCACTATTTATGAATGAACAGAGTAACAGTTAAGCAATGGGAAATTTCTGGACGGCAGTGTGCAGTTATTAAAAGTTATGCTTAGCTGGGTGTGGTGTGCATGCCTGTAATCGTAGCACTTGGAAAGCTGAGGCAGGAGGATCACTGAGAGTTCAAGGTCAGTCTGAATTACATATAAAAAACCTAAATAAATAAATGTTTATTACTTATGTTACATTACTTATACTCAATATTTAAATACCCTTATAAGACTATGTAAGGTAAAAAAGTATGTAAGAATCATACATATAGCATGCAAACAAATATTTACAGAAAAAAAGATTAAAAGAAAATATCCAAAAACATCAAATGTAACTGGATGTAAGAGTATGAGTGACTTTCATTCTCTGCTTAGTTTTTCATATTTTCCAAAAATTTAAAAATAAGCATACACTATTTTTATAATGAAAAGAAAAATCATGATTATTGCTTTTAAAGTCCTAGCCTATGCCTTAGGGAACATATGATGTAACAAAGGACACATAAACAAAATCAAATGTATAAATTGAATTAGCAGAGTAGTCAGAAATACAAAGGGATAAAGAGAATAAGATATGATGGTTATTAAGAATGGACATACAAAGTCTATATGGGTACTATTTATATATTTAAGGGTGGGTATGAGAAGTCCGTACTTCTTTCCAGTTATAGATTTTAAGGAGGATGTTTGCAGTGGATTAACTACTGGTCAATTTGTAACACCCAGCTGAACTGAATTTATGTGGTCTGGGTGTGCAGCATCCACCTAAAGATTATTACCAATAGCCATAAGAAGAGAATTGGGACAGAAGATCTTGGCCTGTTGATTTGCTAGGAGAAGCTTGCTGCAGATGGTTTCCTGATGCAAACTAGGCTGTTCTTGGAGGAGGAGCCTGGGACCTCACTGTCCCTGGGAATGGCTGCTTTTATCAGGGGAGCTCTGATCTTTATTGTGAGCATTACTTCCTGGCTTCAATGCGGACCCCTCAGCTTGGTGGCAGAAATCCTTCATCTCATGAGCATAGATTTTCTGTCTTCCACCCCTGGCCTTTGGACCTTCCAGGTACAGATCCTTAATATGGACAAGCATGTGACATCACCGTGGTTTCTAGGCCACTGGCTGAACTCAAAGAGGACATTGCCTTGGACTCTATGCCTTTAGCTGGACTTGTGTGGGAAACTGCTGGGATCTAGGCCCTCAGTTGAACGGTTGGGCTCCTAGTGTGTGGTTACTCTCTTCCACTCCTTGCATTTGACTTTTTGGGTAATTATCATAAAATAACCTTTTAAATTATGTGTCCTGTATTTAATATACTATCTTGTCCAATCTTGCTGACTACAACGTTATATTTCAGGAGGTAAATGATGGAGGGGAAAATGGTGAGAGGTCAGAAAAAAAAATTTTTTTGTTTCTAGGTTTTTGTTATAGAATTTTTTTTGTTTGTTTTTGTTTTTTTTTGTACCGGATATCAAACTCAGGATGTTGTGCTTATGACACAGGCATTGGCACCACTGAACTAAGTCTCTGGCCCTGTTACAGAGGTTTTTAAAGTTGGGACTGATGAGAAGTAAAAGTTGTGATGAATAAACAGGGAAGTAAATAATATGTGAAGAACTTGTCATTGTCAAAAAAGGCACTTCATCAATCAAAGACGTAAAAACCTGAAAAGCATATATGGCCTTAGAAGTCAGTGCAGTAATGTTAGGTAGGAAGAATCAATCTGGATAGGAGGCTTTTGTAAACAAAAAAAGAAAGGGTCAAGCATGATGGCACATGTCTATATTCCCAGCATATAGGAGGCTGAGGCAGGAGAACTGCTGCAAGTTCAAGGCCAACCTGGACTAACTACATACCTAGGTCCTGTCTCATAAAGCCAAAAACTCAAAACAAGAAGAGAATGCTGGGTGTGGTGGTTCACATTTGTAATCCCAGCTACTTGGAAAAGCTGAGGCAAGAAGATGATGAGTTTGGGGCCAGCCCAGACAACTCAGTGAGACCCTCTTTTAAAATTAAACAAACAAACAAAGAGGCCTGGGGGTTGTAGCTCAGTGGTATACAACTTGCCTGGCAGGTGTGAAGCCCTGGGTTCAAACCCTAGTATCAACAAACCAATCCAAACCAAAACAGAGAGAGCAAAGGCATGGAACAAGTTCTGTGTATTTATTATCGCCTTCATCTGGGTTTCCCTCTCTTATTATGGTCACACATCTACCACCTTAGGGTTCCACAAACATAATAGAAACCTACACTGGAGTAAACTGTGATATCAGCCATTTGTGTTTTTGGTCTTGTGGATGCTAACAATAGGATCTTCCAGGATGGCAATGGCATAAAGGAGGGAAATAATTGTTTTAAAGAAATCTGTTTCCCTGTATTTCTTCCTTCTATTTCTAGGGTCATTGCAAGTATTTTTGCAGTTGAATGGAATAGCAGTTTCTAAAAAATAAAAAGCAGATGTTAGAAGGCATTCCAGGGTGAGTCAGGAGAAGCCTTAAGGGCACACAGTACTCACAGCTTGCCCTAAACTTCCTTGCTATAATCGTGACAGACACACATATCCCCAACTCTGCCTAGAGAGTGAAGGCTGTAGTAGACCTAAAAATGCCAAAATACATTTACTCTCAAGCCTGCATGTTCTTTAGAAAGAAAACAGCATGGCTGCTTCAAAAGAAATATTCTTAAGGAACATATTCTTCCTGATTCACTTCTCAGATCCAGAAAAAGGTACAAGTAAACTACTTTTGGGTAAATATTAATCATATAAAACCAACCTCTTGAACTAGAACTGAACCTAAATTCTCACAACTTTGTTTACCAAAGTTGTTCAGAATCAAGTGAAATTGTTCTAATTAAAAAATTTTTTAATGTTCTCTCGAAAGTTATATTAACCAAAGTAAGTATCATATTTTTTTTGGAAATGTTAGGCAATGTTTCTATAGGAACTTAGCCACATCACATTCTTAACACATTTGTGGTATGCATTTTTGGAATAACATGGAATTTATGGCACTGAATTACAATTGTGCAATTTATGGTATGTACCTGTACTTTTGATTTGTTTTTGAGAGGGCATAGAAATGATAATGCACTTAATTGAGAAATATAAACATTATAGGTAAACTTTTTTATGAGCTATCTTTTCATATTTATTTATAATTCCTTTCTGAAGACCAAATGTTTTGTGTTCTATTGCTAAGAAACTATCACAAAGCAACACTCATTTTCTAATTGCTTGTGATTCTGCTATGGAGGCAGTGCTTGGAGGGATCAGCTTGTCTCTTACTATCAATTCCATCAAAGGCTAGGGGTCTGCTGAAATGGGCTGTGGTCTCTGTTCTCAGGTTGGTTGGGTTCTTCATTTGCCCTCCATGTGATCTCGTCACATGGTTCATTAAATTTCTTCATATCATGGTGAACTCAATTTAGTCCAATGTCCCAGAGCACAAAACTACTAGTTGCAAGCCATTCTCAAAGCTTAGGCCTGGTACTGTCAAGAGTGTGGCTTATGCTGCATTCTACTGGTTAAAGTGGATCATAAGGCCTCAGCCCAGATAAATAAGAGAGAGAATGCCACACAAGGGTGTATGAGGAGACATGGTTCACCGGGAACCTTCTTTGAGGGCTAGCTTCCATATCAATGTTGAGGAAAGAAATTTCATAAACGTTAAACCAAGTCTATTTCCTACCAATTAACCAAAAGCAGAGACATGTTCAACTTGTATTTTAATATACAGGGCCTACACCCAAATCTTTCTAATTTTTGAGAGACAATCTCTCTCAAATATGCCTCATTCAAAATTCTTTCAGCTGGGCATGGTGGCACATGCCTGTAATCCCAGCACTCAGGAGGCTGAGACAGGAGGATCAACAAGAGTTTAAATCCAGCTTGAGCTACAAAGAGAGACTCTGTCTCAAAAACAAACAAACAAGGCAAAAATTCTTTCAGCATTGTATTTTCATTAGCTTCCAGCATTAAATCTCATCTAAAATAAATGTTTCCAGATGTATGACTCCCCAAATCCAGAAAAATTAAAATATAACTAATTTAGTTTACACATTTGTATATAGTGGCCAATTTTGTAATTTTTAAATTGCAACTAAGAACATAAAAAAATGAAACAGAGGCTAGGAGTGTAGCTCAGTGGTAGAACTTGCACTTAATACCTGGGTTCAATCCTGAGCATTAAATAAATAAATAAATAAAAATTTAAGATGTACCATTTACTTTTACTTCTTAAAGTTATGTTAATTTTTTAAGTAGTAAAGAGAATTGTAAAGGACAATCTTAAATATTTACTTTATGAAAACTTTTCTGTCATGCAACTTTTGTGAACTATGCAAAATATAGAACACTTCATGAATTTTCCTGCTATTCTTATGCCAGGGTTAATCTTTTCTGCATCTTTCAGTTTTAGCTATATATGTGCGGCTGAAACAAGCATTACACGTCTTTATTCTTCTCACTTGCTGCAAGTCATAAAAATTCCTCCAAGGATTGCCACTGGTTTTTGGATCCAGTGTTTAGGAGTCTAGATAATCCTTTATTATTGAACACTGTCAAGGCTGTTTTAACTCTGATCTGCTAAAGTCATCTTATAGTATTTCCTAGGGACTATAGTCATATTAGTCGCACTCCGAATTCTACAACTCTCTCTTTTACAAGGAATCATTTAAATCGGTGCAAATGGAAATAATATAACTGATAATTACTCTTTCCTGTATTTAGGTTGGATGTGATAACACAGGGTTTTCTGTTCCAATCTGGGTCTGTTATGATCTCAAGAAAGTAAAAGTCTCTCTGCACTTCAGTTTTCCCATCAGTGATACAGCTATAATAGTAGAGTTCCTTTGAAGTTTTAATGAGATAATGTATATAAATAAGGAATAGTGTCTAACAGATGGTAAGCATTCTCTATATTCTTATATATTAATATAATGCTATTTACTATTACTCTTGTTCCTTAAAAACAGGTTATGCATATATACATAATTATGTTTATGCATTGTATCAATATCTTGCAATTGCGATTTAGGATAGCAGCATATTTTAAGGGTGATCTCAAACATCCACAATACTTTTGGATTAGGCACAATCACATGACAGAATTTTAAAGTTGGAGAGAATCTTTAATGTCATATGATTCCACCCTATTACAGGTGAGGACGTTTAAATTTAAAACAATTTAAACAGTTGCCGTGGTGTGTGCCTATAGTCCCACTAAGGGGGAGGCTGACAAGAGGATAGAATTCAAGACTTAACAACAGTGAGTCCCTGTCTCAAAAAACAAAATAAAAAAATTTATAGAATCCATTTAATAGCAAAAAAAAAGTTCGTTATAATTATCAGAATAGCCTCATAAGTAAATAAAATATATAAGCTTCACGTGTATTTCTAGCAGCTTTGCCAACCACTTTCTTTTTATCAGTGCCACTCGTACTGTCTTGGCTACCTATACTTTTTCATGAATGTACAAATGGAAAGCAACACAATGTTCAATTCTAAGAAATAACAAAATTCCTAATACCTAAAAATGGTAATGAAAGACAAATAGGGTTTAGGAAATTTATTTTAGTTCAACTGCCAGATTTATTTTAAGCCCTATGCTTAAAAATAAATCTAATTCACATGACTAACTTGAAATATTGAAGCCAAAAAAAGTCATTGCAAAAACATTTAATGGAATACCTGGAGTTTGTCTGTTTCCATCTTTGCTGTAAATTTTGTGAAAACTTACTTCCTACCTTGATTTATACAGTGGATTTCATAACTAAATATTTCTTGATACATATCAATAAAATAAATATAGACATTTTCCAAGCAACATATTTTCCTAACCTCTGACTCACATCATAAGGTTGGTGGACTATTCAGATGCTGTGCAATGCTTTTCAATATAGAAAGAAGTTGGTAGCATTTTCCAGTGTGGAGTAAGCATCCACATTTTCTAACAATCCTCAGCTAGACCTATGAGCAAAAACAAAGGTTGATTAGAAACAAAGATTGGTTTCTTGATGAAAGCAATGAAAAAAATTATCAACAGGCTGAGTAAGTCTTTCATCCTCTCTTGCACCACACTTTACCAAGCAACTGAACTAGGAAGAAATGCCCATTATTTTCATGTTTCACATTAGTCCTGATAAAATCACAGCTCCAAGTTTCACTGAATGCTTTGAAGTTGAAAGAGCAACACTACAAACCTGAGAGAACTACGGTGGGGATGTGGATGTGAGAACGACTTAAAAATATTCATTTTTTTCTCTTTTAGATTAAATAGTGCTCGACTTCTATTGACTGCTTTTGGAGTTAAAATTTTAAGCCCCCTGACACACACTCTCGGCTTGGGAGCATTGAGTGCTTCCTTACTTTCCTACTGAATTGCAAACACACTGAACGTGGCGGGCTGACGACGGAAAACCAACTCCAACCGGGCGAAATAAAACGCTGGTTCCTACCGAGGGAAAGGCATTTTTTTCCTCTAAAAGATCCTATCTCTTACCGGGCTTGGGGGCGCTCGCCTGTAATCTCAGTACTCCGAGGCTGAGCCTGGAGGTTCGAAGCAAGTTCGAGGCCAGCCTAGATTACATGTGTTCAAGGCCAGCCTGAACCACATATCGAGACTCAAGCAACGCCCCCTCCCCAGCCACAATAACTCTGACAAAAATAACAGGTACTCTTTTTTTCTGTCAGGATTCTCCCGACCGGAGGAAACCGAAATGGGGTAGCCGTCAAAACAGCAAGCAGACACACCGAGCGAGATATCCTCCTTCACCCGGACACCTCAAGGCTGCTCCAGAGCCTGCC